AACAGACTATAACCGTTTTTGATTTATCCAGTGATACATACCTTTGCAGCGTTGTCTACCAATTCAGCAAACACTTCCTCCTCTTCGCCGCCATTACTTCGAGTAGATGACAGTGAGGACGGCTCCAATCCTCTCCCAGTGGCTCCCTGCATAAATTCGGCGAAATAATGCGCATAACCACTGGCCAGAGTGGTCGTCGAGAGCCTCGGAACAGACCTGCTGCGCAGATCTTGACACTTGAAATAGACCTTGACATTTGACACAGACTTTTTTTTTCTGACCGGAAGCTCATCCAGAACCGGATCGCCATTTTCATCAATGCAATATGTCGGAATCACTGAAAAGAAAACAGTGTCTTCGTCACCGCCAAGCTTTTCATCTAAAAACCATCTGAATCTATCAATGAGATTCACCACAATCACACTGTGAGAAAAGATGACAAACACATATAAATAAATATATATATATATATATAAATATAAACATATACATAAAAAACCTCTATTAAAGCTATATGTATGCATATATGTGCATATATATGCATACATATAGCTTTAACAGAGGTTTTTTTTTTATGTCAAATGCACAGTAGACATACCGCTGCATGCAGTGACGTCCTCTTGTCGAACGGGCCGAGGGCAACTAACGGAACTGTCTGCTTTCGTGTCAGATGAACTAAAATATGGGCAGTAAATTAAAGTTAAGATTTGGTGTCAAATTGAGCGGAAAAAAATTGTACGTTTTATTCTCATCACATGAGTATGTGCAAGTAATAAAAGATGTGGAAGACACATTCAATGCCAACATTTTGCTGCTCCCAATTTTTACAAACGATTAGCGATAAAAAAAAAAACTGGAACTATTTGTCATGCGTTTTGTGCTGTGCAACAGCTGCACAAAACGCGTACTGTCAGGGGTTGTCTGCATGTGTGTTTGTGTGTGTTCGCAGCAATTTGCCCGTAACTTTCAACTCGAGGATCAGAAAAGCTAGGAAGCTGAAAACTTAGAGGTATGTTCCTCGCCCATCTACCTCTAAATTTTCACCCCTAAAATTTAAATTCAGCTTTCCTTTGCTCGCGGGTAACGTGCACGGCGCCGTAAAAGTTTTGGTGGATAAAATTATCATCACAGGAACCACGGGAGCTAGAAGGCTGAAATTATGCGGGCATTTACCTTGCCCACGTGCGACCCAGAAAATTTAAATTCAGCCCTCCCGCGCATCCAGGTATCACTTACGGCCTGTGAAAAATTACTGAGGGTCTGAAATTTTATGGCGATATCTCCTATTAATGTATGACCTCCGCAAATTTGGATCAGTCTTTACGTACCTCTAGGTACCAAGTACGGCTCTGTGGAAATTTTGGCAGGAAAATTGTTCCGGAAACTGCAAAAGCTAGGAAGCTGAAATTTTAGCGTGGCATTGCCCACGTATAACTCCACAAATTTTCAACGTCCCCGTGAAAGTTCTGGCAAGAAAAATCATTACTTCGGGAGCCAGAAGTGCTAGGAGATTGAAATTTCAGGAGAATGTTTCCTGTCGAAACAGGGGCTCCACAAACTCGAATTCAGTTTCCAAGTATGTCGGGGTCTTACATACGATCACGTGAAAGTCGTGTCTTACAGATTATTCGAAGGCCAGAAAATTAGGAGATTGAAATTTTGGAAGGATATTCACCCTTCGCGGTTTCAAATTCAGCTCCCAAGTGCCAGTCCCGTGAAATTTTTAACTATTTTTCAAAATTTCAACTATTTTTACACAGAACAGAGTGTAAAGCAGTGAAAATCATTAACAGGCAATCGTTCAATGAACGAAATTGCACAAAACGCATGATCGCACACGCTATTCTGGTGCGCGCTGCTATTTATTTTTGCAGTGAGTGACGTCGAAAAACATACGGGTGTGTAACAGATGTGATTATGCACTTTTTAAACTGACTATAAAATAGCACAAACCATGGATGAGGTTGCTCTGAACTTCTCGGAACAGCGGGAAGCGAAAAAGTTATTGGCGGTGGCACTGATGACGGTATTGGGAAAGGGCGCATCGGTAGACAATTCATGCAAAGTGCATATAACGATTCCTGAAACAACTGAAGTGATTTGACTTATGGCTGATTTACATACAAATTAAAAAAGCAAGTGCCCAAGAGTGTATGGACAATTTTCCACTGTCAACCAAAATAAATACGCAGAAGCGCACAGACACAAATTCTTACCTGACTATCAAAATTTGACAAACATTCACTCATTTTTCAGTAAAATATGTTCAAAAAATTTATGGCATGCTATTACATAAAACTTTATGATATTTGCACATTTTAAATCATGTTAGTATT